TAGCCTTCAACTGCCAAAGAGGTAGTTAAAAGGTAGACAGAGACAGTTTCTATTTGGAGGAGCACAACAGAAGGATGAGAGGCAATGAATACAATCTGCAACAGGGGCGTTATAACAGTGTGGACAGAGAGGCTGTCTTCTTCACAATTTGCCCTGAACAGCCTGATCTATGTTCAAAGTTGGGCTTGCTTTGAGCAGGGACTTGGACCAGATGACCTCCAGGATTCCTTTCCAATCTTAATTTTGTGATTCTAAGTGTGATCTGTAAGACAGCTAACACTATATTATGCAGTGAGTTAACCTGGAATGTAGCAGTCCAGAATAAAACTAGTTCCTTGCTTTAGCATAGAATTGGGCAAAGAACTGGATGAGGTACATGAGTTTTGGTGCTTTAGCCTTCTTTTGAACTGAATCAGAAGCATCTCCTGAAGAAAAGGCTCCCTTCACACAGCAGACCTTTTGTTTGGTATTATACGGTAGGTGTTTCCTGATAGATGATTACATGTGTATGAGCTGCCCTTATACATCTAGCTAATGATGAGTTTCAGTGGCATTAATTTAGGTCTAGAGGAGGCAAGTGTTCCTCTGTAGGTTTATTTGCACTTGATAACTACCTTGGAGAACTGAGCAGCATAAATGAGGGAGGGAGGGAGGGCATAATCAGAGATTGAATTCCCTGCTCTGTAAACTGTCCTGCTGAACAGAGATTGCGGTGGATGTTGGGCTTGCAGTCAAACATTGTTTAATGTCTTGATTGTTTTCATGCAGCTTTATTCTGTCAGAGGGAGTATCAGTGTACCATAATCTTTCTTTAGTTCTCTAACTGAGAGAGCTTTTAGAAACAGAAATCCTGAAGGATTTCCTGTAGTTAGTGCTTAGTTTCGGGTAGCATGAGAAATGCATTTGTATGCTATTTTTGTGAGCCTATTTCCAAATGTCTGCTTATTTTTTCCTCATTTTATGCTTACCATTTTTAGAATAGTCTAGGTAAGACTTGATCTTCTGTCAGCTATGGCAAGCAGTACATACTGTGTCTTGGGATATTCAAATACTCATTGGTAAAACTTCCGGAGGGGAGCCTGTGCTTCAGTGAAACAAGTTACCCATAGATACTGTAGAACTTCTATCCTTGGAAGTTGCCAAGAGTCAGCTACACAAAGGCACAGCTGACATGTTCTAGTGGTAGTAGTAGTGCCTGTACGTGTCTGGACTAGGTGTCCTCCAAGGGTCCCTTCCAAATGAGTTGATGGCTCACTGCGTCAGGACAAATCTTCCTCTCTCAAGACGTCTCTTCTCACAGGAGCAGCAGATCTGTGCACAGGGTAGTCAGGTGTCTTCCATCAAACACAAGCTGCAAGGACCTCTTGAGCTGAGGCAGGCTCATTGTGCTGCCCCTTCAGGCTGGGCTAGGCTTGCTTGAGATGTGGTGTGCAGGGACTTCTATCTGCTTTCTGCTGTGAAGCTGGTGACTTGGTGCATCTACATATGGAGTCCATGAGGATGTCAAATGCTGACATGAGCATATTATGGCCGTGGGATTTGACTCAGGTTGGCTGGGGTGATCCTGTTGTGATATGTAAGTATATGTACACTGGCATGGCAGAGTTATGAGGCAATCAGTTTGCATTGAAATACATGCCAAGCAACCATATTGGGAAGCTCCCTCCAGGTAATCAGTTCAAAATAGTCTGGAATAAATTGCTACTTGTATGTCCACACTCCACCCTCACCCCTCAGCTGGAAATCATCTTGTATCACATTTTAAGGGAAAAGGTCTGACTTAGGCATTGCGCAGAAGCCAAAGCTTTTCTATGGCACATAGTATTTCTGGGATAATGAAGTTATTGGTCATACTCAGAACCTTTTCCATTTATACCACAGCTCTTCGAACATTGATAGCAGGTAAGTTTTATGCCCACTTCGCATATTCCTTGGCCATGCTCTGAATGATCATTGAAATGAAGTCCTGGGGCACCCCATACCCTAACAGGCTGTGTAGACTGTTCCAGTCTGCCCTGGGCTTTTGGAACTTTCTTCACTGGCATTCTCTTGTCTCTTTCAAAAGCTTGCCATGGGTGATGGTAGGGTCTGTTCTTGGTGTAGTGTGATAGATGCATCCAATCTGTTGCCCTCTGCTCTATACCACTAAGATTATTTTATATCTATTGCAAATATGTCCAATTGCAAATTGTAGTTACAGTTATATACAGGAAAGCTGAACATACTACAGTATACCACATTCTGTGATGCACAGGTATCTCAGAACATCCTGCATTAGCCCACTTCTCAGGGGCACTTCACCGTTGTGAAAGTTTTGGGAATGTTTGTGTTTCCTTTATAAAATTAATCTTTTTTAAAAAAAGAACCTTATTTTCCTGTGATATTGTCACAAGAGGGCAGAATAGGAGTTTGCACATCCAGTAACTTTTAGCACAACTGAACAAATTGCTATGTTCCAGCTGAGCTGTGGTAAGAGCTGTGTGCACAACTAGCCTGCAGGAGACATGGGGTAATTTCACTTAACATTGCCTTCTGCTAGGTTAAGTCAAATGACTTTGTATTTATCACATGCCAGGAGCATGCATGTGATCAATTATCACAGTAAGATTATAAGCCTTTACTTCTTAAAGCTCAGTAACTTAATCCTCTATGTGAGCCCTAAAAGCTGTTTTCGTACCTTGAATAGGTATCTTCCTAGGTATTTTTAGAAAGCCGGAGTGCACTGGTAGTCAGAGTAGCACACTGCGCTCTCTGGAATGCTCTGAAGAACCTACAGCTCATTCCTCTGCTAAAAAAAGCTGCCTTTGGACTGTGAGAGCAGTCCAGGCCTCTGAAAGTTCCCGAACATGAGTTACCTGCTCACAGCAGCTGGGTTACCTCTGCCATTGCAACAGTCTCAGTTTAAGGGTGACTAGAGCTGTTGACTTAGATCTGTCTGGCTTTTTTTTTGATAATTGCAGATTTTATTTTGAAATAGCTCACTTGCAAATGCATTCTGTCTCACTTAGATACTTAAAATGTTACAGAATTTTAATTACTAGGGAATTCAGTAATTGTCATTCAAAATAATTGTTGTGCTTTGGTTTTCCATTGATAGTGGACTTTGAAATGGTCTTTAACTTATGAAGAAACCAGTCAGAGGATTGGGATTAGTAAAGCACTCAGTGAGAAGTGCCTACTGAATGAGTCTGCATCAATTTGACCAACTTTTAAGATAGCTAAGTTAAATGGATACACATTTGTCTGTATATAGACAAGGCCTCAGATATGGTAGAGTTCATTTTAGAGTTAATTCTAGAGGTAGTTCAAAAAAGTGGACAACCCTGCAAGAGAATAAAGTTTCTCATCTTCTAACTGACTCTGCTAAAAAAAATCATCAGTGGCAGCACAGAACTGCATATCCTCTGCTTTCTGGGTGGGAGCTACGAGTATGCAGTCCAGTCAGGACACAAAACGTGCCCTGTGATGGCTGAGTCTTTACCAGCAGGTGCGCAGCCACAGGAAGTGCTGGGTTTCATGGTTTCCTCGGTAAATGCTCGTGAAAGGGAGAACAAACAAAAAAGTGACTCAGTTTGTGAGCACACCTCATGCCTGAGCCATTCAGGCGCCCGAATAACCACATCATAACTGATCAAATACAGCCTTCCTAAATTAACACCTCTTCGAGTTTGCTAAGCAGAACTGTAAGGCTCTAATATTAGCAGATTCTACAGTGCTACACACACAGCAGCTGCAAACATCTTTGGTCAAGAAGCATCTCTATGGAGACTACAAGTTCCACCATGAAATAGGGAAGACTGTTCAAATAAAGGTGACTTGTTTGGTGGGATTTGTAGTGTCCGGGAACTGTGCCACGGTACAGAAGAGGAGTGTGTGAAGGCCACACTCCACTAATGGGAATTAGGCGCTTGTCTTGAGCTCCCAGCAAGTTGCCCTAATTTGGGCAAAGTCTGGATGACCTTAGTCTGAATTGTTGAAATAGTTCAGCCCGTTTTCCCTTTCTCCTAGCTACTGCTGAGTACTTGAGGTGGCTCTGGCTTCCCTTCATAAGGACAGAGGAACCTGTGCTCTGTGTGTGTGAGCATGCATATGTGTGTGTCTGGCTGCCTGTCATTACAGCAGTAATGGAAATACTGCACGGATCACAACTCTCAATTAGCTCCTCGGGAGATTGCTGTGACAGCCAGTTACTGAACAGCAAAGCCTGAAGGAATGAATTAATTTGTAGTACACGGCAGTTAGAGTCATAGTGTTAGCAATGGAATAAGACAGCAGTAGACCCTTATTAGGCTCAGACTGTGTGATGCAAGAGGCTGTTACCTGGGGGATGTCTCTCTTTTCTCTGTCACACCCCTCTAGGGTTAGGAAGGATCTTGGCCCATGAGTGAATGAGTTTAGAGCTCTCAGTTCAGTCCTTGGAGTCCCTGTCTGCCTGAGGCTGTTTGGCAGCCAGCAATGGGCTTTCATTCAACACAGACAAGGGCATGCTGCTCTCCTCCTGGCTTGGAGCCAGGCCAAAACCACTAAGTGAATGGTATTCAGGGGAGGTAAGGCTATCTTTCTGTCCTCTTCAAACAGCATCTCTCTTCCTTATTAGTTCACATAGCTGTATATCACAGAGGGTATCCTAAGGCTGCTGCGCCAGGGGATACTAGTGTCTTGCCTTTGCAGTGTGACATTTATACACAGACATAGAGGAGCAAAATGTGCTCAGTAAAGTGTTCCTAGAAAAACTGGGAATCTTCACAGATGGCCTGAAGTTCGCTTCTGCCCACAAACAGCCACACATTCCCTGTACCCTGAAGTACCACACTATGGCCCAGCAATACAAATTTGGCTTTCCACTTTCTCATTTTTCAGATCTGCTGTCCAAAGATTCAAAGGTCTGCAGTCTCTTATCTTGACATTCACAAAGCTGAATACAAAGCTTGTCTTTTATCTTGTCTTTTATCAATTACATAATGACTTTTTCTTAAAACTTGTTTTAGCATATTTTATAGAGATGGCTTCTTCGTGTGCAGAGTGGATTTGTCACAGTGGGACACCAGCCTTTCTCTCCCTTTGATCAACCACCTACTGAGAAGCAGTGCGAAGTCAATAGTTTTGGGCATGCCGCTTGTTTTAACTGGGACAGATCTGATCTCCAGAACTGTGATGTGCAGAACTGGGAAGGAGTAACATGGAAATAGAGTAATCCTTGCAGAAGGTAAGAAACAAGAAAGGAATATTTCCTATGGACTGTTCCTCCAGTGACCAGGTGCTTGAGAACAGAACTTTACTGTGCTGATCTGGTAGGCTGAGGAATATGCCGAGTTCCACGTGGGAATAAATTGCCTGTGTCTTAAGTTTTTTATGTTCTGGAAAGAAAGATGTCCAAGTGGGAAAGAAAAATAGTTCCAAGAGGAAAAGAGGAATAGTTCACTGACAATAAAATCCCTAAAGGTGGTTGTCCTCTGTTTATCTGCTAAAAAGGAGCAGCGCCAGCAAAGCCTTTTTATGCCATCCTGGTCTTCAGGCACAAGAGAAGTCTTTTCTTTTGAAGGAATTCCTGAGAGAGTAATTCAGTCTGCGGACCCTGCTTTGTCAACCAACAAATGGAGCAGTTAAGTTACCTTTGTTGACAGAAAGAAGGAAATCAAGAAGTCAAGTCCAGGCTCCTCTTAGCACTGGTATCCTCATAACATGAGATTCAGCAAAGTGGTTGTAAAAGGTTTTGCAGCTCTGGCAGTGCTTCTTGTCTGGGCAGCATTGCCTTGGTGTGCTTTTATTTTTCTTCACATTGGAGTGTGAACAGAAGCTGTTGTCTAAACAGTTGACATTTTCCTTTTTTGCAGTCTGTGGCTCTTCCTTGATCCTTGTGTCTGCTGCTTGTATTAACTGTCTTCTTGTCCCTCGCTGCACATTCTGGCCAGTAAGTGGTGCTCCCCCCTTCCTTCCTGCAGCTTCATTCTTTGTGCAGAGCTAAGAAGTGCTGACATACATTGCTGTGGCTTTCAGGTATGTCTCACCCAGACAGTATGTCATTCTTTGATGTAGTGTATTGATACAATAATGCTATTTCTAACTTGAACCCTAATGGTGTGGTTTTAATTACAACTTCCTGGTATTGTCCATACTGGAGATTTTATGTACTGCTACAGAGGTCCTTGAATAGGATCCTCCGTTGCAGGCCACCAGATGAGATGGGCCCCAGTTGGGTTTTCATGCATAATGTTGAAAGTGAAGAGGAGGAAGTTTATGTGGCTGGCATGGCTATAAGGAAACTAGAAATCTGAAGAAAATGAGACCTTGGGGTACAGCACTTTTGTTTGGATCTACACATCCTAGTGCAGTATTCTTGCCAACTAAAGAAGCATGTTTCTTTGCAGCGATATGTGGATTTGTTGGGATATGGGATGGACCTTTTCCACTGGCCCTTTACAGCCAGGCTCCTTTTAGCAATGTAATTCCACTGTGAATTCTGATGGCCATAGTCCAGATTTTTCCGCTCTTGATCGCTACTGTGCTGGGCTTTTTTGCCTGTATATAAATGATGGCACAGGGACCAAGGCAGAAGTAAATCTAGTCTTCTGTTTTATCCTTAAGTGATGGTACAGTTTTTAGAAGTAGCAAATAGCTACCCAAATGGTTTTGTTACAGAGACAGGGAGTAAAACAAATGTGAAGAATAGGGGGGAAGAAATGGACCAAAGGAGGTGAGGCAAAGAAGATGGGAGTACAGAAAGACAGGAAAATTGATAAATAAAAAAAAAAAGAGAAGTGACTAAAGCAAGAGAGGAGAGAAGGAGATTCTCTCCTGATTAGAATTCATGAACTCCATTCTTACATTAAGTCTATATATGACACCTGGCCTTTAATGTGAAGCTGCCTACGAGCATTAAAAATTAAAAGCAGAAGGTACGATCCATCCATCTCGGGAAGCGCTGCTCCCCTCCTATCTGAGCTCTGCACAAAGCTATTACACATTGATAAATTATTTTGGGTAATAGCTGAGATATTACATTGTTTCTGAGTGAAGGTAAAATCTCTCCATGACATGGGCATTTATCAGGAGTGCATTTCATCCTATTTATTATGGCTGAGACGAGATCGCAGGCTGCGGGCAGAGCTGGCATGTCGTGCTGATCACCTCCCCCATCGCCTCCCTTCCCTCTGTCACTTGGATGATGGGATATTGATGGAGCTCATGACAAGTTAATTATTAACTAAAGATATGCAGTTCACCTCTGCCAGGGGAGGGGGCATAGAAGAGAGCAATGATAGTTCTTAAAAAAATAAATATATCCATAGTATCTCAGGATTCTTCTCTCCACCTTTATCTCACTTCTATCTGTGATATTTTACAACCCCCCAAATACATCAGGTAGGTTATTTGAATTCCAGTATGGTCTAGAAGGCCAACAGAAATGGAAGAACCTCTAAAAACTTAAGATCTTGTTCAAGAAAAGTTTCCACAGAAGTTTCTCTCCATTGGCTTGGCATTGGAAGTAAGTAGGGGCAAATTTTCACTGTCCACTGAGTAACAATGACTTCTCTGCCTCTTGAAAGGGCCAGAAAGCAGACCCATGGAATTTTGATTCAGGCCCATAAATGAATGCTTGCTTTCTTTGTAAAGAAGGGATATCCTGACATCCTCTGAATATTTTAGCTATTCCTTTCCATTGAGCGCTGGATGTTCCCCTGAAGGTCAGCTGGTTTTGCGGGACAGAGGGAAGAGGGCAATGGTCATAAAAACAGTGCTTGCTTGCTTCTTCGTCTGAGCTTCTAGGCTAAACAAAATGAGTTTGCACCGAATGATGGACTGTGTCATATTTGCATCCTGGTAATCTTGCCCATTGAGAGAGACAGCTGCTGTATGTGAACCTTTGGGTTATAGTATCAGATACACTTAGGTATAACAAATGAGTTACTCAGTTGATTGGCTGCGGACTGAGTAGTCCTTCAGTCAGCAGCATTCACTTTGCAGTAACAGAGACAGTCAGTACTACCTCATGGCTATGTACAAGGAGCTAGTGTCTCAGCCAAACTAGTGCCTTACTTATTTTGCAGAGAAAATGGCGGAGCATTGCATTGGGAAGTTTTCCTGTTGGCAGTCTCATCAGCAAGGCTGAGGTGTAAATGGTCCTCTGACTAATTCTGCAGTTTGTTGACTAGGTTGGAGACAAGTCAGTAAAAAAGCATTCAGATGACAGAGGCAACTAGTGTACCATTATAGGCTAAGCTGCTTCTGGTTTGTCCATAAGCTATCTTAGCAATTATGTTGGTCAGGTAGTTCTAGAAGAAAGAAGCCACTGCTGCAAGCCACCCTGACAGTGGCCATTTAGAAGATAATTGCAAAGGAAAAAATGACAGTCTAACAAAGGAGCTATACTCTCCATATGGTCTATAGCAAGACCTGCCTAGTGAATTTTCACCACTTCAGAGTCCTTCAGGAAAAACTAAGTGTGTTTGGTTTTTAAAACCCAAGATGCTCTAGATGCCAGTTTAAAACTACAAGTGTGCTAAATTTCATGCAGGTTGGATTTGAAGCATTTAGCTCATTTAAGCCCCGTCTACCTCACTTCCCTGAAGAAAGCATAAGATTATTACTTCAGGATTATGGCCTGTAACCTTTGAAATTTTTCATAAAATGAAGTTTCTGCTTTTGTTCTGCTTATGTTTTCAAGTGCCATATCTGAAATGCCAAGTCAGCTGGGACCCAAAGGTAAAAGCAATAGGTCTCCCGTGGGCTTAGAAAAACTCCCACAAGATTGGTGTTTCTGCAACAAATTGGTCTCCCCAGAGAAAAACTTCAAATACTTCATTCTTTTCAACCTGAAGTATTCTGGAACTTGTGAAAGCTGCTGTGTGTTCTCTATTCTATTCTATTTCAATGCTCTCGTATTGAAATTGCTCTGTATAAAAGTAAAACTTTCAGTTTTCATTTACTTCAACCTTGGCTTTCTGAAATCTCTGAAGATCTAGCTGCTTGCTATCAAAGGTATGAGAAGAAGAGATGGGACTGGAATCCCAGGTACAGATAAAGTGAGCACAGTCTGAAACATGGTGGGTAGATTAACTACCTAAACTCCAAGTAAGAAACTGCCCATGACTCCAGTAAGGCTAATCTCTCTGTCCTTGTCTGGTCATAGTAATCAGTTTGCCCTCTACTTAATATAATGAAATATATAATAAAAATGTATTAACAACTGTGAACCACCCTCATCCCCTCTCCAAACCCCCCTGGGATCTTCCAAGGTTAGAGGATGTGCAGTATACTCACCTCAAAGAAAATGCACATTCACTACCTTTAAACTTTTATTGCACACCTTGTCTTTGCCTGTTGCTTCTCTTGCAGCTGCTTTTTAGTCTGGGCTTTGGACTGCAGTCCCTGCCTGCACATTGTAGGTGTGTTGACATCCCTGGAAAAATACTAACGGTGTAATACCTGGTGGACCTATTTGTCTTCCAAAAACACCTTTCTGGTGAATTTTATGGTAAACACATCAGGCTTGTAAATTTGTGTTCAGGAGGTCTGGGCACTTACACTGTCTGTGACTCCTTCAAGGCAGAGACTCCATCATTGTTTCCAAGCAGCCTGCCCACCTACTGGTTTTGGTAATGACAGTGCTTATAGCTTTTCTCTAGTTTTTTACCTTACCTGGACTTTCCTCCTAAACACCTCATAACTCAAGCTGTAGTTATCTATTCAAAGAATGCCTCTTACACTAACAAAGGTAGTAACAGGAGTCCAGTGCTACCAGGTTGTTCATGTAGCGCACAGTTCTATAGTAGTATGAATAAGGAGGCAATGGAGATGGGATTGCTCTGCTTGAACTTGGAGATCTTTACGTTTATAGAAGAAACATTGAAAGCCCATACAAAAAAGGCCTGTACTGAGAAACTGTAATATGAATAACTTTTGTTGAGGTCCATCTTCTCATTTGGAAAAGTACCTATCCATAACATTCATGTCTTCTGGCATAAAGATGATGATGTGTGGTTATACTACCTGCTGGCTACAGAAATGTAAGAAATATGAGTTATATTTACGTTAGCTTTACTATAATTAGCTCAATCTTGAATGTGGGTCAGTGTGATTTAACTGAACTGTACCTAGGAGAGTGTACTCAGGATGGTTGTAGAGGAGTGTCACAGAGCACACAGTAGCAGCAAATCAGACAGATACCATTCAGCAGAATATGGCTCCTTCACAAGAGCTAGAACTGAATGTGCGGTTTAACCAATGTTGTGTCCTGTAATATGTGATAGAATTTACACTGAGTGTAAGCTGCGTCAGGCAAGCAGCCTATTTGTTCAGCAAGGCTTTATGGCTGTGCTGCCCTATATGGGAGGTCATGTGTTGCTGTGATGTGTCAGATCTGGTGTCCTTTACTAACCTGATACCTTGTCTTTTGCTGTGACTGACACAACATGAGTTGAGAAGGTGCAGGGACTCCTGGCAGGGCATAGTTAAGAAACAGATGGACTGTGGGGTCACATCTGCTGAGACTGTATTCGTAGAAATTGACTTCTTGTTCAGATGTGTGTCCACACCAACCAACATAAGTCTAGATATGTCCTTATACCTGCCTTATCCTTTTCAATTGTGTCTAGCTCCTGGCATTAGTAACAGCTGAGGTGAAGGTTGCACCAGCTAATTACTTTGTCAACTTTTAATTTCAGTGAATAACCCTTTCTTTTTATATTCTAGTTCTAGACTATTGTCGATAACAGGCCAACTCCTGGCTTGTCTGTTCTTATATTTCTCAGAATTCTCAGCAATTTGCTCTGCAAGTTTTTCTCACTTATAAAGGGAGGGAGCAGAAACCTAGCTGGTCTGTCTACTGTGGTACCTTTTGTCTTTTGTATTCCCTGAACAGACTGGCAAAACCACTTAATTCTTCAAATCTTTCCCTGTGATCCACTTCAGTATTCTGATGCTTTTAGGGGAAAAAAAAACAAAACAGGTATCAATAGGAAACCTGATACTTATTAGTACTTATTTGTCCTACAAGTTTTTATTGAAAGCGTGTCTTTATATGAGTTTATCTTAAAATCATCTACTCACTTGTGGCAAGTCTGTCTCTGTATGTCACCTCCTTTCTGTCACTTGCTTCAGTCTTGCCTGTTGTCTCACCTGAGTCTTCGTATGGATTTGGGTGGTAAACTGAATAGTGAGACCTTGAGCCTCTGGGAGGTGTGGTGGCTTTGGGCGGTACTGTAAAATAAATCATTCCTAGTCATACCCGGCTGTGCTCTAGGCCAGAAATGTTGCTGCTTTCCGAATGTGGCAAACACATGCGCAAACGCTGGAAGCCAGGACATACCACTGTGCTCTTTCCGTATGCATGCAAGCACTGCACACACATGCACCTTCCCCCACCATAGCATAAATAGAAGATCATATTCCATATGCTCCCAGGTCAACCCTGAGAAACAGTTGAAGCAGCTCAGAGAAGCACACAGAAACTTAAAGAGTTAATCCCACAGTAATTGGAAGGGGGGGGTGTGAACAGTGTAATGGAGGGGTGAAGAGTTCCCATAAACCCATTGCCTCAGCTTAGAGAACCTAAGGGGCAGTGGTCAGAGAGAAACAGAAGGAGAGAGAGAGATATCAAGTGTAGTAATCAGAATGAAAAATGGAGCTCCGGTTACTTTAAACAAGAGCTAATTTATCACGAGAACGAGTGGATAAGTAGCTGAGTTTCAGGCGTTCAGTAAGTTCCCCGTTCTGCTCCAAAAATTATTCCACCCCTGTCTCCATGCTCCCATAAATCATCCCCTTCTTCACTTCTGCTCCGATTACCCATTACTCCTGCCTACTACACGCTTTCCCCTGCCCGACATAATCTGATGGGGCCCTGCCTTTTAATTTTACGAATGCTTTTTTTCTTCTTGCTTCTCAGCTTCCCGTCCTTGCTCCTCCCCTCCCCAGCTTCTTTCTACATCTTTGTTTCCCTTTTCCCTCCTCACCTACTTTTTTCTTTTTTTTAATGTGAAGAACAGGAGGGCAGTAATGCTTTCTGGCATCTCCCCCCATGAGGTTGGCTGAGCTGAAGGAGAGGAATAGAAATTAATTATTTTCCCCAAGCTGAACTCTCTTTGGGTTTGTGAGTCCTGTCCCTAAGCACATGACAAATTCTAGATCCAGTACAGCTGTACCAAAGGTGAAAGTCTTGTTCTTGAGAGGATGTGTTGCTTTTTGTTGAGTCTTTGAAGCTAAACATTGTGTTTTACCATTTTCCCCTGTTTCTTTATTGTACACAGAGCTTTTTTGAGCTGCACAGCTGCAGGCGGGAGAACTTTAATTTCTACTGCAGTGTGTTCTTTTTCTGCATATGCTTCACTAGTGCTAATGTTTGCACTGGAGCAGTTCTAGCCTGGCTGTCACACAAATATGGAGGCGCTGATACGGGCCCCAACCCTGAGAATTTAGACTAGATGCACAAAAGAAACTTTTGTTGCCTTCATTGATTCCATACACCAAACCAGCTTAAACCAAGCTTGCTGTAACAAGCAAATATCAGCATTAGGAGAATGTGTTGATTTTACTGATACAGCTATACCTTTCTAATATAAAAACCTTTGATACTACTTAAGGACTACTACGTAAGTCTGGTGCAGTATTTAGATGCTGTATGGATGTGCACATGGATTGCATATGCAAGAATCCTGAAAGTGTATTTCAAACTCAAAGAATTGACATGCAATAATACATTGTTTCGCTTATATATTGTTTCACAATATAAATTATTGCTGAATAATTGTACTAGCTGCAGTTCGAGCACTTGAAATCACTGTTTGTCATGTTTATCAGTTCAGCATAGAGGCAACAGATCTGTTTGATTTCAGTAAAATAGTTTTTGTAGGCTTCATTAATTGATTCTTAAATAGCCTGTGGATATTAAAAAAGGTTCAGGAGTGCTAACTTGCACAAATCTAATAGATGCTGGCAAATCCTAAGTTGGAAGAGCTATCCCAGCTGAAGAGAAAGGTTTATGCAGGTCATCAGTCTAATCTAATGTGCACAGAGCTGTTATTTCTACCTGTAAGATATTCAACCAAATTGTCATGAGGCTTACTGAATCTAAAAAGACAAAACTCCCTTGCCCTGCTGAGAACAGGGTAGGCAAAGTGACAGCTCTGCAGAGAAAGCAGCTGTCCAGAGCTGGGTTTTGTGCAGGATAATGGATGGAGGAGATGGATTACCGGGTGATAAATCACACAATGGAATTGGCTGGTGCCAGAACCCATGAGCAAGGAGATAGCTGCCATGCTCTGCAGTGGGTATGGCCATCTCCATCTGAGGAGCAGTAG